AACCCAATGCCAACCAACCCACCCATCTCTTCCTCCTGCCCTAAACTTAAACAAGCTAAGTAGACTTTTCATGACGTTAGCATAGTCACCTGAGACCTCTCGCGTGCTCGTCTTTTTCCGAAACGAAAAAAGAGTGTAAAAGCTGCACCTTCGTCGCTCAGCCGAAACGTCTGCGTATATTATTTTCTTCAGGCCTTACAGAGTCATCAATCGATGTGCCTTTATGGACCCCTCTATGAGCAGCCAGTAGGCTGATCTAGAACGGTACCACGTGATTTGTTGCACCGCCACCCGGAACCAAACATTTAGCGGTGATGTGGAAAAACTCTTATTTCAGTCATGCGCCAATTTTTGTGGATCAAACAAAGACCACTTAACGTAAATGCAGAAAACCTTACTTGTATCATTAACATGGTAGTAGGCCTTTCCCGATTGCTCTCGAAAAATCCTAAAAAAGTGCTGGCAAAAATGGCTAAAAAGTGCTCAAAAAGTGCTCAAAATCTCAGAATAGTGCTCAAAAAGTGCTAAAAGTTGTGAAAAGTTACCTCTAAGCTTTTCGTAAATATGTCAATTTTTACTCAAGTAATTAACAATCTATTTTGCGTAGTGTTATTCGACAGGTTGTTACGAAAGGTTGATAGAATATAGAACAATAATATTTTTAAAAAACTAAAGCCGGTTACGAATTGTAAATAAATTCAGCAGTACTCGTACTAGTACAAAGCCTAGACATCAGATGTAGAAATTTGAGATGACACACGCATGATACATCAGCCAATCAGAAACTTCTGTTCTCACGCTCAGTAAGGATAAGTCCACGTGCCTTTCCATGTCAACGGTCTTTTATTCTTGACAACATCATTAGTTATTCAAATTTATGACCTGGAACACGGTTCTCGTTGCGAGCGACACACAGTTTTTGCTTTAAAATGTTTTAGAAGACATATGTTGCTCGAAATTTGCTCGAAATGTGAAATATTGCTCAAATGTTGCCCAAAGTGCAAACAAGTGCTTAAGGGTGCTCAAAATGTAAAATAGTGCTCCAAACTCAAAAAAGTGCTCAAAAGGTGCTCAGCGCAATCGGGAAAGGCCTACATGATAGGGTCGATGTTTGGTTATTGCCCTACATACTCACGTGACTAACAAGTCAGGAGCATACCAAGTGACTCACGACATCTTTTCTATGATCGCAATAAATTCAGCATTACTGGGGCCACAGGCGCCACAAACCAAGTTTGAATATGTGCGAGATGCTATAAGAACATACAACAATGACTTGCACCGTAAAACACTTTATATACCAGGAATTTCTTTTCCGGCGCGTTACGCGTCACGCACTTCCGGAATGTCATCTTCCCTCATGTTGACAGATTGAAAACATATACAAACTTAACTTTGATTCTGCCGTGATGCAGAATTTAATCAGCGGTACTGTGAACCCGTGTAGCATTTAAGTTCAGGTAAGTAAATAACTTTTCTGATTTCAAGGTTTCAATACGATTAAAACTATAGCAAGCGAGTATTTCGACAATATTCCCCCCTCCTAACTGTGATTTGAACTGCGTATTCGTGTCTCTTCATTATGGTTTATCGCAAAAATCAGCTGAAAGGAATCATGTTAAACCGAGCAGAAACGCCGAAATATAATCTGAAACCGTTACAACTCTGACTAGGGTTTAAATGTCGAAGTAACTTATGTTTGCGAAGGATTAATATTCCAAGCGTCGAAACTTGCTTGTTGCACGTGCTTTCCTGGAGTCAAAATACTGTTCAGGTTTTGGTCTCTCGAAGGTGCGCATTTGAAATGCCGCCAGAAATATTTTAACACAAACAACAGCAAAGGATATGCTTCAATACAGTTCTTGTTTCATATTGAATTTCTATGTACCAACTGGGTTTTTACGATGGTGAAGTTAGGTCAAATTTGTCATTTTTGAAAAGTGCTGAAACCGTGTTTCTTCTTGCGGCCGGTACAGTCACATTTAAACGGTTTATTTAAAGTTAATTGCTGAATTATAAAGTAAAAATGTGTGTCTGTTTTGTGACTTGATTTCATCTAGAGATATCATTCCGTTTTTATGTACGAGCGCGAAGAAAATGCTCAATTTTTGCTAATTTCATACTCGAAAGAGCGCCGATTTAGAGTTTATCAAACTTTGCCTGATTCCTGAAAAAATAAAAAGCAGTTACAAGTTTTAACGTGATTTTTGAAATTAGTGTACTATAGAGATTATTTGGGGAAAATATGAAGAAATTCAAAAATTCGCGACTGTCAACCGATTCTCGAAAATTACAGACATTGGCTCTTAAATAACTGTAATAAACTTAGGAATTCCCGGCGAAAACGCATCTCCATCCAACAAAGACGTTTTAAACGTTTAGCATATTCGAGGTCATTACCAAGAATCCATCTTGAGACTTTCAATTGTATGCTTTCCAATTTGCCCGATAAATATGCTGGATAAGGGTCCTAGAAAGGACAGGCATATTCGATAGTCAGGCGAACCATTGCCTTATATCCACTTATCATGGCCTCAGAACTGTTTTCAAATGTAGGCTTCAAAAGACCAAGTATCTTATTGGCCTTGACCGCTACGGCGAGCACGTGAGATTTCATGGACAAGTTAGAGAGAAAGTTACACCAAGATCCTTGTGGATGTGAACTTCCTCTAGACATGTAGAATTAATGCTATATGAGCACTGTCAATTTTATTTTACATCTCGTTATCCTCAAGCTCTCGCATTTCGTAGCATTCATGTTCAATAACCATTGATTGCACCAGGTCAACATTCGATGCAAGCTGTCTTGTATTGTATAAGAAACCGCACAAGGAGAAGCTGAATTGTTTAATAACGTATCGTCTACAAACATGTCGCTGGAACAAGAAAGACATTCTAGTATATCATTCAAAACCAAGAGGAACAAAAGTGACCCCACGATAATACCGTGAGGAACACCCGAAAATACGTAAGCCCAGTAAGAGTTTGAACCATTAATAGCTACACGCTGGCGTCTGTTTGATAAGAAGTCACTTAGCCAATTAAGGGTTTGACCTGTAATCCCGTACTGCTGGATCTTAAAAATTAAACGACGGTAGGGAACAGAGTCAAATCCTTTCTGAAAGCCCAAGAAGACAGTGATCTTACCATTATCCAGAACTGAAGCCCAGGTGTGAAATAAATGGACGAGTTGAGATGAACAAGAAAGACCAGGTCTGAAACCATATTGACTAGTACTGAGCAAATTATGCTTTTCGAGGAAGGATGAAATGTGATTTGCGATCAATTTTTCTAGAACTTTGACCACAAGGCATGTTAGGGAAATTGGTCGATGATTAGATACAAGCTCCTTTTCACCTTTTCTGAACCAGGGGGGATATTTGCAGATTTACACTTACTTGGTAACTTGCCCAAGTTGAGAGACATATTAAACATAGTCCATGGGCCAATCGTGATTTTGGTACCAACTCGAAGGACAAAGGATGATTGCTGCGAATTGATAGCACATAAGGTGGAGATTGAAAGTTTGTATGATAACCTTTCTGTAGGAGTAGCTTTCAGGGTATTTTTTCCATGTAAAAGTGCCGGAAATGACCTTTGAGATACCAACCAGGCCAACTAAATGTGCACTTAATATGTTCTATATCTTTTGTAGTTTAATTTATTATGAGAGACATGAGAAGTTTTTTGCTGCGTTTTTTATCGCCAAAATATTAATTGTTTTGAATTTAACCAAAGTAGAGCGTGGAAAACTCAAAAGTAGCCTTCGAATAGTATTAAGGGTAAAATCCAAAATGGCGGCTACCATGGAAGGTGAGTGGGTTCTTGATTTGCCGGATTAATAGCCATTTTACCGTGTAAAACGCAATAATTTCACGAAAAGTCAGCAAAATCATCTAGTTAATAAAGCACTTAAACTTTTTGAGGCAAAAGTCTTTGAAGTTTTGACTTTTAATAAGCAGAATTTAGGAAATACTTACAGATCTTGTAGAATGTTCACTTTGATAATCCGATAGAAATTGAATGTATAATTTTTGCTCATATCGATCATACACATCTGTTTACATATTTATAAATTTTGATTTAAAAGTTTGAATTATAAATTTTGGCACCAAAGGCTTCAGTCTTAAAGCCGGAGCAGTTAGCAAGTATTATATAGTTTCTGAATTTCGCAGTATTTTTTTGAAGCAGCTGAGGGACATGCTAAATCTATAAGCAAATCCAATTCTGAGCATACTGATCTTCAAAAAACAAGAATTGCAAGAGACGAGGCTTACGTGAAGTCGCTAGAAAGCAACTGGATAAATCCATTCAGTGCTGAGCAGCAGGATTTGGTATGTTTGTCAACCGGAAAGGTTGCCACACAAAAGATAGAGGAAGACCTGTTGGGCGTAAAAGCTATCGGGGAAAAGGCATACAAGGAATTTCGTGCACAGCGCTTGGAGTCAAATTTCACAAGACCCTGAAGAAATCAAAGCTGAAGACATTCTCTGAACTTAACAAGAAGGTGAAATTCAAGAGCAAAACAGCAAACGAGATCATCCTAAAAGCTGATAGAGTTCTTGTTGGTCAAATGGTTATAATTGCAGAAAACAGACAACTTCACATGAGAGATGTCCTCTGTCATCCGTTGGGACCTCTTCCTTGGGCACTATCCACAGTAGATGGGTCACTACTGAAAACCAGCAAAGCAACACGTTTTAGCAAAGGAGCTGCAAAAGAATGTACTTGCTGCGGAGGAAATTCCTCAGCCATCTGCATGCATCATAGATCGCATAGTACTAGTGCAAAGGTTGAAAGGTGACCATAAGAAGTTTCAGATGTTGCTGACTCCTTGTTTGGATTGTTTCTACATGAGGGTGCGTCCTCGAAGAAAATTGACGTTATCTTCGATGTGTATATAGAGAATTCAATTAAGAATACAGAAAGAGAGCATTGAGGGGCTGAGTATGGAAATGAATTTAGAAATCTCCAACCCAACCATAAGGTGCAGCAGTGGAAATAAGAAAGCCTTAACAATATTTGTGACCAAAGAATGGAAACAAGACAAGTATAGAAGAAAGCTCACAGACAAGGTCCTATTTGTAGCCTGTGAAGAAGAGTGTCACCAAATCTCACCAGAGGCTGCCTTTACTGTTGAAGAACTTAACTCAACACAAGAAGAAGCTGATACAAGGATTCTTCTTCATCTCTCTCATGCAGGCAGATCGGATTACAGCACAATGATTGTGGCATCAGAATACACAGATGTCTTCATTCTTTGTTTGTCATTCAAGTGTGGAACACAAACAAGAGTTAGATACATCAGCATCACGAGTATAGTGCAAGCCCTAGGTCAAAACTTGGGCAGCATTCTCCTTGGCATGCACGCTTATACTGGTTGCGACACCGTGAGTGCTTTTGCTGGGCAGGGTAAGATTGGTGCACTTCGAATCGTCAAAGACCAGAGATCCTTTCAGGAAATGTTTGACCTCTTAGGAGTGGAATGGGAACTCTCAGATGATCTATTTCAGATGCTTCCGAATTTCACCTGTCGTATGTACAGTTCCCGCCCAGGGACAAACAGCATCAATGAGCTAAGATATAGAGAGTTCAAAGAGAGGTAACATGGAGTCCGACCAACTACCACCTTGCGCTGATTGCCTGTATAAACATGCGTGTCGAGCAAACTATCAAACAGGAATCTGGAGGCGGAGTCTTGAGAACTGCCCTGAAATTCCGAATCCCTTAAGACATGGCTGGATTCAGGATGAGAACAATTTAGGGATTGATTGGATGATTGGTCAGCCAGCTCCTGCAACAGTTTTAGAGCTACTCTCTTGTTCTTGCACAAGATCTTGTAGGCTCCCGAACTGCAGCTGCCTTGCGAATGGTCTTAAGTGCACAGACATGTGCCGGATCTCCGAGTGTGATAACAGGCGAGAAGAACAAGCTGTCACAGTAGACGTCGATGCTGATGATGACGAGAGTGATGAGGACTAGAATATGTGGTCTGATTCTGTTTCTCAGCATATTTCCTTGGCTGTCGACATGGTTTATTGCCCACAGAAGAATACAGTCATTGCTAGTCGTTGCTACATTTAAACATATGACTTGCTAAATGTGCATCCAAAATACATAAAAACAAATGGTCATTGTAAGAGGAATTATAACATTTTGCATGTCACCTTCGGACATCCAAAAAGTATGGCTTCGCGGAAAAACCACAATCGGTGCTTTTGCCGGAAGAGTTTGCAACTATGGTTTTTTAGTTTATAGTTTTGAGAGAAGCTTCTTTCACAGCTTAAACTATGAGGATTTTGCATGTTCCTTCCAGTTTTGATCGTTTTGGGGCACTTCAGGGGAAAAAATTGGCATGTTTGAAAATCAAAGATGGCGGATCCAATATGGCCGCCAAAAAGGTAATGTCATATTGTAGCAGCCTCATAGGTAGCTATAACACCTAAGTCAAACTAGTATCCAGTTGTCATCTAGAACTATCATTTAACAGTTTTTTCAAACATTTCATCTTTATTACTTTAGTTAAAATCGACCCTCTGGTTCAAAGGGCTACTTTTCTATGTTACCATGGCAACAAACACCAGAATTCATCTAATTTTGCAACAAAAGCCTCGAAAATCACTTGGAAAAAAGTGGTACCATTTAATCATCTAAACGTGTCTCCAAAACATGAGTAAAAACATAAGGAAAAACTTATGTATGTACATTTATTTGACATTGTAGAAAGCCGAGTGACGTCATTTCATCACGTGATAAACCCTATAAAACTACTCATTTGACATGGTTATCATACATTAAAATAAACTAGAGGAGTCATAGTTTTTTAAAAATATAAGCCACTCTTTGTCCCTCTTTTTGGTACCAAATCATCAAATTTGAGGTCCTGGCCCATGGACTAACAGCTTTGGTGATGAAAGGGCGATGCAAGGCGCTGCTTCTCTTAGCATACGAGCAGTCAGGCCGTCGGGTCCACAAGCTTTAGTAACCTTTAGACTCAACAAACATTTAGACTCATGTAAAGTTATATGAATATTTTCAACGGCAAACAAACGGTGAGACTGGTTACTATTCTTTGTAAAAGCTGGCTCAGATAAGAATACTGAAGCGAAAAAAGTGTTAAAAAGTTGAGCTTTATCACTTGCAGTTGATGCCTTATCATCACCAAATTGAACAACTGGCGGGGTGAATTTACTCTTTGCTTTGAACTTGATGAATGACCAATATCGTTTGGGATTTTTAGAATCAATTTATCATTGTAAAAAAAGAGTCACATCCTATGCAGTCTTTAAAACAGTTTTTAACTTTTATTGAGTTACAAGAGTGTGTTACATTGGTATCGCTTAATTTAATATGGCTCCTACAGGCTATTGTTTTTTAATCTTGAAACCAACCTTCTTCTTTTTAAGGCTTGGTCTCTTACGGATCAAATAGAGAAGCTTTGAGTCTTTCTACTTGTGTACCATTCCATTGTGTGTCGTATGGTCTAAATCTAGCTTAAATTGTGTTCATATCAACATCACGTGCCCGATGAAGTAAATGAAACAAACAGTAGTCTCCACAAACAAACAAACATCTGACGCTAGTCCTTGCAGTGGTTTGTCGTTGTAGTAACTGGCTTCCTAAGAATACCTCTTGATTTGATACAGGGCAGGAAGTTAGTACTTGTGATTTAAGTACCCCATGGCGCGGGCTAATGTCCTGGGTAAAGTTACATACCAACCAGAAGGCAACTTTAACTCACAGTAATCTGGAGCTTTCTCGCGTATGTAAAAGCACTCGTTTCCTCCCAGACTTGTAATTGTTTTGTCACTATTGAGATAACTGTCCTTTAGCGAGCTGTGAAGTCCTGACAACATACCATGTATAACGTCTAATAGATTGATAATTTCCAGGGAGCACGGCCTTCCTCACAAATCAAAGTGAAGGAGAGCCCATTGTCTCACACATTTACCCACGTATAAGGGTAGATGATACGGGTCATGGCCACGTCCCAATCTTCACGTAGGTGCATTTGATTTGGCAATTGCATTTTAAACTCAGCTGCATTGTTTTCGGGAAACTGTTCTAAGCTTGCATCACTGGTCAACACCAAGTTTAAACTGTTTGTCATGGTCTTTGACGATGAAAGTGTAGTACCACGTTGACAATACCGTTTAAAAATGAGATCTGCCCACCACAACCACTGGTTAAATAGATTTTAATGGTTTGATTATCTTTCTACGAAATAGTAAGAACAAAACACGTTCTTTTTACTCGAGAAGCGTTTCTCGAAAGTTACCATTTGGGACCATTGCATGTAGGAGAGGTAAGCGCTTATCACCAACTTCCCAGGGCTCTACAAGATTGGTTGGAACGTGCAAGGGATACTGATAGAGGAATACTGAAACTCCCGGAAAATATCATATCCATATTTATGTTTTTGGGTGATGGATACTTCCATGTTCAAATGGACACCAGAACTAATTTTGCTTTGATCTGTTATCGACTCGAGTGCTCGAGCAGTTGGCACTATGATCAGAATCCGTTCATCCAAAGAGTTCCAAGTGACATTCCATTCTTTATATACTGTTATTTCGGTTTTAGACGGTCACAGAGCAGTGTTCAGACACTGTAGGATTCCCTCCATTACATCCAGGGATGTTTGATACTTGCCCTAAGGTGACGTGAAGAGATTGAAGTCATATGAACTCTGGAGGAGGACATGAGAGGAATGTCCAACCATGATAACGGATATACAATATAATGCAGTCCCACTTCCGAATTCTCTCAATTTTTCAAAATAAATTTCTCGGGATAACGCCACTCGGTAAGAGTACTTGGAATTGGTTAAAAATAAATTGCTACTAGCATTACTGGGAAGCGTTATGTAAAAGTCGTTGTCTTGAATCATGCCTGTTACAATGCCACCAGTTGCTTGTAAGGCAGCGTATTTGCTCGGTAGCCTTTCCGGTGTACCAGTGCTTCTTTGTCTGCACCTTTCCCTCGAAACTTGAAAACTTTTTCAACACGAAACAGGTGGTCTGGCGTTTCTATCACTTTCTGTAGCTCTTGCTCATAAAAAGGTCCCTTCGATGAAATCACCGTCTGCTTCCTTCAGGCGATACACTGGAGGATCTCAGGGTAATCGCTGTGCAGTGGTAAATGTCTCCTCTGTCCAGGATGGCAAGTAACCTTTCGCTTATGCTTAATGATCTTGATTTTGTTTATACTTTATTGGCTTCAAGTTTTTTCAAGTTTTTCCCATACAAGGTTTTCCAGACATCTTGCAGATTGGACCTATTTACATCTGCAGGCTTCATTTTGACACTTTGATGCACACTCTGATTATAATTTCCATTGACCAAACTGTCCAAACTGAGGAACATGTCGCGGTAAACATCCGCCGCATTAACTGTTTCAAGGTCCTATTGAAGCGCTCGACCATTTGAGCGTTTGTCTCGTTGTATGTCACGAAATGATGCACATTCTCATTTTTGAGGAATGTTTCAAAAGTTTTGTTCTTGAATTCAGACCCGGCATCTGCTTTTTGGAGGCTTCTACCGATGAAGAGTCTGCATTTCATTTTGACGGGAATCACCCACACATACTTGGCTAAGATATGGATACAAGTAAGTAAATATTTCTAATTACGATTAGCCTGTGTACAGTCCCCCCTCCCCCTCAGGAAAAATCGGAGAAGGGGCGTCTGTGATTCACCGTCGCTAATCGTGTACGGGAATAATTTTGAATAAATTTAAAAAAATAGTTTCCGCCGATGACAATTTCCCTGCCTCATGTTTCATGTCATTCCAATTGTCCAAATGTCGGTGTATGCCACTTATTTCCATCGAGCAATTGAGAGAGAGACATTTTTAAAAATAGGTTTACTCTATACCTAACGAGCCCTTGAGGGATGTCCAATACCGACCGATACGAGTGGGGGGATGCAGTTGTCGAGTGGACAAATGCATCTCATTAAGGGGACTTGGAAATTTTGTTGATTGTGATGTATCTTTGCTTAAAAAACGAGGCATACACAGTGTGCAGTGCGCTTGTTCCTTTGCGTGACTTATGTCGGATATTTGCTAAAAGAACGAGGCATACCCTGTGTGTAGGGCGCTTGTTCCTTCGCGTGAGTTATGTCAGATCTTTGCTTAAAGAACGAGGCATACACAGTGTGTAGGGCGCTTGTTCCTTTGCGTGATTTATGTCGAATTTTTGCTTAAAGAACGAGGCAAACACAGTGTGTAGCGCTCTTGTTCCTTCGCGAGGCTTATGTCGGATCTTTGTTTTACTGAACTAATGAGACGCATTTTCCACCTGACAACTCTGTATGTCGAGTCGAGACAAATTGTATACTCGTACGACTCGACAACTTACATGACGTCCCTAGTCAACTAATGAGATTCATTTTTCACTCTACAACTCTGTATGTCGAGTGTAGCTCGTGCAAGTTGTGAAAAGTTTTTTTCCACTTGTATCTTGTCGACAGTATTGGACATGACTGGAGAAACTGAAGGAAAAGATCCATTATCTTATGCAAGCCTTCCCACTCAATACGGAAAGTCATTAGTTTGAAATAAGGTGTTGTAGGGAAGTGTCGACAGGTCACACGCGAATCATAAGTTCGTGTCGTGATATTGTGAAACGTGACCTTAGCGTTTCCTTGATCAACATAAGTTTTCCTTCTTTTCTTTCTACCGCGTAGGTTATGTATCGTAGTGTATTTTTGCATTTGATTCTTCCAGTTACAGGTCATGAAGGTGGTATGTCTCATGCATATTGAGTTATTATTTCCTGTGGTTTTGTTTCTGTAGGTGTTTGTGACAGGATTTGATCTCGGATGCCGGTTTTCCTCTGAGCCTTAAACTTTCTGAGTGCGGCTAAAGAACGTTTCAATAAATATTTCAGTTTATTTTCTTTTATACGAAATCCCTGGATCTCAAAAGCTAAATGGGTGTAATTGTGCGTGAATAAAATGATTTTCTAATTGACTACAAGTT